AAAACCTGGGGAAAAGGGATGGCAGAACGTTTGCTCCTGGAAAATCTGGGAAACGGGGCTGAGAGAGCATCCGTTCCGAGAAAACCGGGAATAACTTGGGAAAAGGGGATGGCAGAGTGTCTGCTTTGGGAAAATCTGGGAAAAGGGGCCGATGAAAAACCTGGGAAAAGGGGCTGATGAAAAACCTGGGAAAAGGGGATGAGAGAGCATCTGCTCTGGGAAAAACCGGGAAAATCTGGGAAAAGGGCATGGTGGAAAATTTAGGAAAAGGGGATGAGAGAGCATTTGCTCCGGGAGTAGCTGGGAAAAGGGGATGGCGGGAAAACTGGGAAAAGCCAGGAAAAGGGGATGAAGAGAAACCCGGGGAAAGGGAATGAGAGAGTGTCTTCTCCCCGAAAATCTGGGAAAAGGTGGTGGTAGAGTGTCAGCTTTGGGAAAATCTGGGAAAAGGAGATGGTAGAACGTCCACTGATGGAAAACCTGGGAAAAGGGGCTGAGAGAGCATCTGCTCCGGGAAAACCTGGAACAGGGGATGGCGAAAAAACTGGGAAAAGAGGATGGAGGAAAACCCGGGAAAACCTGGGAAAAGGAGATGGAGGAAACCTGGGAAAAGGGACTGAGGGAGTATCCACTCCGGGAAAACCTGGGAAAAGGGGATGGCAGAAAATCTAGGAAAGGTGATGAGAGAACATCTGCTCCTGGAAAACGGGAAAACGGAAATCCCGGGAAAAGGGGATGGCAGAACGTCTGTTTCCGTGTTTGCCGCCTCTGGTGGCTCCTCGCAGCTGCCTAATTAGCCCGTGCCTAATTAGCGATGTCAGACATGACTCGGGCTCTCGCTTCCCATTAGGCTCGGTTTAAAACGAGGCGMGGCAGCGGCCCGGGGCTGATTTCACCGAATCTTTTTAATTTGGGCCCGGATTATCCCAAATCCCCGGCACCGCTGGACAGAAATCGAGGGGAAGATGAAATCCCGAGAGTTGCGGGCTGAGGAAGAGGAGGGGAGAGAGAGAGATAAGAGGTGGTAACGAGATAAGAGATAACAAGGGCGGTCCCAAACTCCGCCCCCGGGTGGGGTCAGCCCTCAGGGTCTGG